ACGTCGCTTCGGCCTTTAAGTCGCAGAGCAAACAAATTATGCAAAAAACTGTGACTTATAGGGTGAAATACACCTACTTGCACTGAAAGAAATGTAACGTTCATCGGGCCAACAATGGATGAAAAACCTTGGTTTTAACTTAAATTTAGTTGTGCTCATTAATTTAGTGAATTAGCAGATTATCTTGAACTGGCCCTAATAAGTCCACAACACTTTCCTCACACAACCACACAATCTAACACCTGATTCCACAGGGAAAAACACAACTCGTCTGCATGACAACAGACTAGAGATGAATAAGCAAGTATCTCAGAGATTATTTTCTGCAACAACAAAGCACCACTGGAATCAATTAGACAGACCTGGAATCTCAAGCTTCTGAAATTTCATCAAGTCAAGGCTGATAATTTGATTGCAAACATATATACTGTTTTCTATCAAGCACATATTGGTCAATTATACTTTGTTGCTTTGAAATACGTCCTAAAATCATCCGAAATAATAACAACAGGTAGATTTTTATTTTCCATGAAAGTTATTAGATTTTTTTTTGTTGTGCCTGCTCCTGAATTCTGGATGATGAAAAAAGGCACATCACTGAACACTGTGTTTTCTTTTTCAGAAAAAAAAAATCCTGTGTTGATATTTTTCTATTCTTCAAGAATCACATTTCTTAGATTTGTTTATAAAAATCTGGATAAATCCCCACAAAAATATGTTAGGAAATTTACTCCGGATGCTAAGCATTATTGATAATGAAAAAAAGATAACTCGTGGTTTTTAAGAAGCATTTTTCTTTGTGTGTGTTCCCAGGGTCTGTGGCTTGCCAAATTCACTAAGGTCTGAGATGCGAGTGTTTATGAAGTACTAGGCAAATTACAGTCAAGAAATCAGGATGTCTACCACTGATGGCACAGAAACCTCCTGATGATGATGGGTTGCCATGGGGATGGCTGCCAAGTGGGGGCCCAAACTGTGCTCAAAGTGGAGGAGATCTAGCGTACCGAGGCAGGTCATTCATCAACAGAGACAAAGGGAGGGAAATGACAAGACCAATTTGAAGTATTACGAGCATGCCAGATGCACATCAACGCTCAATATTTAAGAGTAGTTTTGGAAAATAAAAAATAAAAAGAAAAAACACATTCACATCAGTCTTTCAAGCAGTCACACAATAAAAGTCGAAAAAGCTAATCTGATAGTGACGTGGCATACAAGATCAGTGAAAGAAAAGAAGATGATGCTGTTTACTGAACGATAAACTGTAAAACGAGTTGAAATACTGCGACAGAGAGAAGATTTATCGGTTTAATGATAGCGCACATTATTTATTCTAGACCTCCCCCCGAAACGCTTCTTTTTTTCTCACACTGAGCTGTTCCCTAAGCATCAAGTGACTAACGAACACAAAACACAGCATCCCTCCAAAACAAACACAGAGGAAGCAGCTTTGCATCGACACACAGCCAAAAAGACTTTTATCTACAGTCAAAGCCATAGAAAGAGTAGAATCCCTTGTGCGTGCAAACCATCCTCACATTAGCACACATACATGTAATTATAGCCTTATTCTGTGTGTGTTCAAATCTAATTATTATTATTTACATTTTACTTCTGCTTTGCTCTTTTCTGTGTGTGTGCATATATTTGGGTCTCAACCAGTAGTTTAAGGTGTGTGTTTTGGGTTTGTGTACATCGGGAAACCTGTTGCCAGGCATTAACTTGGATCTGAAAAAATGAAGGATCTCCAGAAAGGATGAGACATGCCCCCCCACCTCCAATCCTTTGCCAGGATTTCCTCAGCTCCCCTGCAGCACAGGTACTACCACACCCTTCTTTATACCTCCCGGGGAGCAAAACAAGGGAAATCCTTTCCTATCCATCCCCTTACATAGCGCTATGTTGGCCATTAATGAAAGCAAAACCCTTGTAAATAAACCTGTGTTGTTGCCTGTTTGTTTGTGGTGGCAAGGAGCAACACGGTAATCAGAAACCACAAAATACCCCTTTACCTCCTCCACCCCCAAACTTCCATCCTGAGTAGCAACCAGATGCTATTCCCTGGGGGCAGCTATCAGGGTAACTGCTCTCCACTCCTCCAAGTCTGCTCACCTATGACTCTTTTTCCCTCCATCCCACAGTTCTTCCTTCCGCCAGCTCTCCCACCGCGGCAAGACACTAATTACTACCATAGATGAGCAGATTACAGATCTGAAAGTGCAGTGGAAGTGGGATGAGAAGAAGTCAAGGGTGGTAAGATGGGGCCAACAGGTCGTTAGTGGTGATGAATGCAACTCTATTTTCACTGTTATTGTTCTCAGCGCCTCTCGCCTCCACGCCACCTTTCCCATACCTTCTTGTTGATGCCATCCATCACCGGCGGCGTTAACTAACTCTAACTATCTCTAATCATCTCCAATCAATTCCAATTATCTTCCCTCTGCTCCTCGTGCATCAGTGTCTCTGCGTCTCTCAGGAAGAGGCAAAAAAAAAAAAAGGCAGGGATGAACATGGATGGAAACGTTCCTAAAACACAAAGAAAGGTATGTAGCTCTGAAATACATTTGTGTATTTGAATAATCCTTGTATTACAGAAGAGACACTACAGTTTTCGCACCAAATTTTTGAGCTTCAGCAAAACTGATAGTAAGAAGTAATTATTTCTAAATAGGGAAATGTTTTTTTCTCGTGAAATTTTTAACTAGACCTCTCTTCAAAGTCAGCGTTCCAGAAAGAGCACCTTCATTAATTCTCCATCTTCCTTTAGTAGAAAGCTCATTAAGTCGATAGCTTAATGACTCTATGGGAAGTGTTTAAAAACTTTCCACAAAACAACAACAGTCCACTGCTCATTTACCACCAGGCTTTTATTAACTCACGAGATTTGCCTTTTAAAGTTTAATGAAAGACGCAATTTCATAATCCGCTATCCCTTGCTCGTCTGTGCCCTTTGCCCTTCTGTCTGTTTGTCTTCTCAGCGGGATGTCGATGGCAAATAGCTACTTTGTTGTACAAGTTTCCCTGAAAACCATGGCACTAGAATGAGGACAACAAAGGCAGTAGGAGAGAGAAAGTATGTGTGTGTGTGTGTGTGTGTTGGTGTGTGTGTGTGTGAGAGAGAGAAACTACAAAAAAGAAGGGGAGCAATTAATCCTTGCTCCAGGGAAACAAAAAAAAAAAAAAAAAACATCTGGGGAAGTGCTCCACCTGAGGCCAGTAGGCTTTCACATTAACCCTACTTGTTGGGATCATAAAGACATAACCCATTAAGCCCCTGTGAGCTCTTTGAGCAAGTGCAAAGGCACACAGAAACAGATTCTCTTTCTCCGTCTGCCTGTCTTTTCCCCTCTCGCTGCAGTTCTCAGACACACTAGGACAAATGCACGCATTTAAAAAAGAAGCAAAACACTTCCTCACAGAGACGAAAACATTTAAAGTCCATCAAAAGCTGCTGGCAGGAGCAAGACAAGGCTGTAACTTAATCATATCAGAGTTATACCAGAAGCCCAGGTGCTACTCAGACACACCGGCCTGGATTTGAGTAACACCTTGGGAAAGAACTTTGTCTTCTGCTGCCATTTAAAAAGAACTGGAAGTCTTTGGCAAAATATCCCCCGTCAGTCAATCACCATAAAACTGAATTATTGGTAATTTCATGACTGTTGACTTTACATTTGTTTAAACCATTCAATGTCTGGCACTTGAGAAGGTCCATGAAAATTTTCAGTCATCTAGCCAAAGATGAACAAATCAAGATAAACATAGACACAGTTCAGCAATTTTAAACAATGACTTTTGCCAGAATGTGGCAGAAAAGCCAGTTGGTTTTAAAATAATGACCATAAAGTTAGACTGGATACAAAAAAAGAGGAGCACAGTTCTATGGCTGCTGGCAAAGCCAAGTCCAGATGGGATAATAACACTTTTCCAAGGCCATCCGCAGGTCTGGAAGGGTTTCGGCATCGCTTTTCTGCTAGACAGATAACTTGGTTCAGCTCGGCATTTGTAAATCTCAAGAAGGTTATACTCGCCCTAAAGGGAGAGGCACGGGCTTAAAGTTCTAGAGACTGGTTTTGGCATAATGATGGGTGACGGGTAGGGGCAGTTGCAAGGAAGTGACAGATAGATTCAAGATGGTGTTGAACATCAAACAAAAGGACAAACAGATGGAGGGCTGAGGCATGGGTCATTGGTTGGTAGAACTACTATGAAGATAGGCAGTAGGGAAATGATTTTTCCATGTCCTGCAGTTTCATTATTCCCAGATGCTCCAGGTAATCTGAACTGAAAAGGGAGCTGGAATGATTAGTCAGTAAAAAGGACACTGATTATCCAAAAAGAACGAAAAAGAAACTTTGAGCCTTGCTACAGATGGGAAATAAAACTTAGCATTTAGTTGGAACTGTAACTGCATGAGGAGAATAAGTTGAATGATGTGTGGGATGTGACAGCATGGGATTGGTCATTGAATGACATAAAATCTCTAATGACATATTTCATTCGTGTGATAGAGAAGGACTATATTGCCGGAGTGAGCTTTGGGGATTTGATGTAAAACGACCTCTTTAAGTAACACAATCAGTCTTTCACCTGGAACTTAGTTCAAAGTCATTTAGAGTAATGCATCCCATAGCTCGTGTCACATCAGCGCCCTATTACCAATCATTTTCATGACTAATCCAGAGAAACTGCAGATGATTTAGCAAGAAGGTCCAACAATGTGCAAAGAACAATTTGTTTTCTCTTAATAAGACCCGACACACTAATAACTCTCAATGAGTCTCTTCCAGCGAGTGCAACTGAATCCTAATTGTTCTTTAATTGTGTTTAAACCAAATCGAACTTCAGCCAACATTCATCAGACCTACTGATACATATCTAAGCAACAGGTGAGGGAATTCATAACAAAGAAAATGCAAAGAGAAATGGCATGTATGCTGACAGAAATGAAAATGTAATTGTACAACTCATCTGAAATAGAAAAAAGCAAATGTACTTACAGTCGAGACAGGGCAGGGTTTTTCTGAAACAGCAATTCGGGAAGCTGTTGCAGCTGATTACGGTTCAGCCTCCTGTAGGAAAGAAAAGGTTCGATTAGACAGTGTGTTTGCGTGTGTGTCCTTATAGGTGTGCAGGCAGTGAATAGCTTATTCTAGGTGCCAAAGAATCAGCTTAGCCACAGGCTATTGTGTTTTAATGTGCTCTGAATGTCACACAAATATTAAACTGAAAGTTCAGGGGAATGAATCTGCTACTCAGAAATGGTGGTGTAAATTGTCTCTGTACAGGTAAATATAAATGCTGCACCTTGTGGAATTCAATATTCTGCAGACTTTCCCAGAACAACGGAAAAAAAAAAAAACTGAATTTCCATTTAAATTAAATATTTCATCTTGCAGTTATGTAAATATTAACACATTTTTGACTGGAGCAAATTGTCAAAACAAGAGGAAAGTGTTGAGCAAGTTCAAGCCCAAGAAAGCATTGACAGGATTGCTTGTTGGCAACATGCACTCCGTCAAACAAATAACATCCAAGACTGGCAGGCTTTATGCAAATACAACAATCAAGTCAATGAGGAACAGACTGTTGCTAATCTTTTGGAAACCACAACTCCCCCCACTCTGAAAGGCCCTTTGGAGGCATACAGGAGTGTACTGGCAGAGAACGGCTGCAAATGTGATAGGCGGGCCACTGCCATGCCTTCAGACAAAGTCAGACAGATGTTGGGACTTGTGCCCCTCACTGTTTATACTGAAAAGAGTGCTAAGTTAGCTGAAATGGAGATCTGGTGAACAATATACATAAATTGTACACTGCTGCTGAATTTGGATCGAGCTGTACCTGCTGGTGGGTTAGTGGCTTTTACACTTACAAGAACTGAGCCACTTAATTTCCACATTGGTCTGGCAGATGGAATCGTCTGCCCAATATTTGGGATTGCTTGAAAGGGGAGGAAAAGAAATGGAGAACTGTGCATGATTGGTAACATAGCTGGTAAATTCTGGTTTCAGATCAGAGGAAATTCTTTTACATGTTAACCACTATGTCTCACACTTGAGAGCGAGTCCATAAAGTCATCTGCTGTGCAGGTTCACATGTGGCTACAACCACTGACTTACTAATGGGATGGTTGAGGTGTGGTTGATAGTGTTTGTCTATGTGTTTTCCCCAGCAGCTTTACAAGCTGGCGAGGAGTCCTGGTGCTGTCCAGATGAGCCAAGGTCTGTGGTGTGGAAGGCCTTTTAAGCCCACACATCCCACTGAGGGCATTTCTGTCAGGCATAGCTAATAAAAAACCATTCCCAGTAACATCTAACTACAATGGATTGACAAGGGACTGCCTCAGTCTTGACACAATCGGTTCCTACTGTTAATCTCATTACCCACATCTAATAAAAGCACTAAGAACATATCAGCAGGAGGTGATTTAATTCTTTTAAGTTCAAATTCAAGATTTAAAAAATGGGAGCCCATTTGTGGAAAACCCTAGGTGCTACTTACAGTCGCTCCAGCTCCTTCATGTCATCAAAGGCCCCTCGCTCGATCACTGTAATGTGATTCTCCATCAGCTGTCTGCAGAAAAGGACACAAGGAGAAATATGGCTTTCAGTCTCACAGCTCTGACAGCATATAGGACATTTAGTTGTATGCATTGCCCTCATTTTTACCCTCCTTCCCCCCTTTCTTTCTTACGTGCGCTCACACCAACAAACACAGATACACAGATACTGGGCAGTGGTATGGACCGGGGGCACAGTGTGGAATCTTGGCTAAGAAAAAGGGAATAGCCGCCAGGAAAGTTTCCAAGGTGGCTCAGAAAGTGTGAGTCTGGGCTCTAGAGTGAGTCTGAGCTCTAGTGTGGTCCAAAGGGGCGTAAGCAGCTCAGTGGAGACGAGACAAAATCATGGGGTCAAAGTGTTAGGTGAGCTGCATATGGCCCAAATAAGGAAAAGTATGCTTGTGCTCTTTTGATCAAACACAAAGAGATGCACACAAACTCAGAATGAACACATCCCTTATCTATAAGATTTAGCTTTAACACTGGATGGTTTTAGAAGTGTTAAAATAACACAAAGTCAGGAAAGAGAGAAAAGTGCCCAGCATCATTAAAAGCAACAAGACCTTGCCTTGATTACATACACAACTGTTTTTTCTGTTGAACCCTTCCCGTCTCCTGTGAGGACGTGGTGCGCTGTTACTCAGCAGTCCAGGCTTCCTCCCAATCGAATATAAATGCTAATCACTGTTCACACTCCATAAACATGGAGAGAAAAGGCCAATTCACTTCATATCTCTTTCTCATGAATTTAGATGGAAGTGAAGGGAAAAAAACCACAATACTTCTCAGTTGGGGAAAACTTTTTAGTCTTGAGGGCATGTGGCCTCTTTTTCAATCAACTTTTTATTTTCCATTGTTCTGATTTTTTTTCCACAGACACACAAAATAAACACATAGATACTTTGCTCATTTAGAACAATCAGAAATCAAATCAAAGGAGATAAGTCAGTGGTGTTGATTTTAGCCTGACAGAATAGATGGCAGCCGAATGTCAAGGTAAACCTGTTGTTTTTCTTCTTTCTTTTCAGGGTTGATCGTGTCAACAGGTTCAGGGGTCAACTCGATGTTAAGACTTAATGCTCCTGCCCTAAAGCAACACACATACTACATGATATACAATATTGGCTGACTTCCAAACTTTTAGTAGTCAGCATGCAGTGTGGGCAGTTTGAAAGAATCAGACATTTATTTTTACGGTAAAGGAAATAGTTTAGTCGTCCTGTAAAAAGCTGTTTGCATCTCACTTGCTGGTGACAACCTAGCGACAAGAATGCATTTACTCTCCATATGGAGTTGGTGCAAAAAAAGAGGCAAATAGGAGAGGACAGAACAATATTAGGAAGGAATGAAAAGAGGAGGACAGAGGGGTGGGCAAATAGCAACGAGTCTTGAAAATAGTTAAGCTTTGCAGGGGAGGAAGGAATTATGTTCAGCTCATGTTACATTTCAAACATGTTATGGTCTACACAGCTTCCTCTAACTAGTGTTTTTAATGCCTAAAGCATTACTAACACACACTGTGTACACACAGAGAGACTTTTATAGCTACTTTATAACCTGAAGTCATAAGTGCTTTGTAATTATACTGCTGAGGGAGTCAATGACTTCACCTGAATGTGTTAACTGTGCCGAGAGCATTTAGGAGCAGTGCTTGTGGGCACCTATCACGTTGATGAGAGGGAACAGAAGGAGCGTAAGAGTGTGTGTGTGTATCTAAGGGACAATAAGTGCAAGTACAGCAAGCGGGATATGGCGAGAGAGAGAAGTCCATTACATCGCTTGCCGCAGTCACTCAGTAGTTTAATGTACTTCTGAGTGGGACTCTTGACGAAAGCGTCGCCACTTCGCTGGATTTATGCTAATCTGAGCAGCAAGTCTGTGGAACTGCAAGCTGCAAGATTACATACAGATCAGGTATGCATGATAACATAAATACTGACAAGCTTCACACATAAAAATTGCATCATTACACATAAACACAAATGCAGGAACTTACAGAACTCTGAGGTACTTCAGACCAGTGAAGTCACTCTTGGTGATGCGTGTGAGGTTATTTCCATTCAGCTCCCTGAAAAAAGAAACACAGAAACAATAAATAATTCATATTTTCCCCCCACAGGACCCTTTAGCCTGGTGACTAAAGAAATAAACAATGGCTTGAAGAAATCTTTGACTTTTGCTACATGAAGCACATTCTTATGACGTACAATTACACACTTTGCCACTCAAGCAATTAAAACAAAACGAGTTCAGCTTTTTGGCATACTATTGGTGTAACGCAAACAGAGAATATCAACAAATCTCTTTGATTTGATGAAATTCAAATTTATGTGAATTTACATGCACCATACACTGCTGGGCAGAAGCAGGAAGGTCATGGCAAAGGAAAGGAAACCAACTCCACCGGGAAAAATTAAGAAGTCCTGTGAAAAATGAAGGCCACATTTAAGCTGCCTGTTTTCCTTTCAGTCGTCGTTCTCCTGCCACCAACACACTCCTGCCTATTTCTATGTGCCATGTCCTTTTACAATTGCTGGGGATTAGCAGAAGCCAGCAGTAGATTTAGGGAGGGCCACAAAGCCAGAAAGTTAAGTGTAGTGAATGTAGTGGGAGCAGACTCCCCACTGAGAGCCGGACATTACCGAAAGAGAAACGAGACACAAAATAAGGGAAAAACAGATGTTTTTTAATTAAGCTGGGTTTTATAGTGAAAGACAATTAGTACTTTAACAGCATTGCATATTTAACTCTTAGTGCTTGAAGTTAAGTTTAATGTGGGATGCATGTAAGAGGGATTTGTATTGGTTTTGCTACTATTGCAGAAAATCCTTAGTAACAAACTGTATTTTCTTCGCAGAATAAAAACAAAGCTTCAGCACAAAGAAATGCATTAAATATTTTATTTTATCATTTTGATGTAGTTTGTATGTATCCACCCTTCTCTGAACCCCCAAACCATTTAACTAAAAAGCAAAAGAAAAACTGGCTTGAAATCTACACTGAAGCACAGGTCCCTTTCCTTCAGTCGCGTTCTCGTCTAATGACCACTCAAGGGATTTTAGCGCTATGCGGTGCGAAAGAAAACGGTCATTACTGACGGATGATGTATGCATGTGCATGCACATGTGTGTGTGTATACACAGGTGCATCGACAGGCAGAGCAACACAGCCACGGGAAAATAAATAATGGACTGGGCTTCATTAGCCTGGGCTTCGGTACGTACATGTGGTGCTCATTACAGGTGCTTACCCAGATACACACACAGACACACAAACACACACACACACTTCTGGATTTCCGTGTCTTATCTTCAGGGTGGTCATTCCTGATGTTACCCGAAGGACTTTAAAAGGAGAAAGATAGAAGATTGGGAAGAGAAGAGAGTAGGAGGTTGTGCAGATGTGAAAAACTGACTCACAAGTAAACAATTGAAACATGGTTCTTCTTTTAGCAAACAGGAATGTAGTTTTACAAGAGAGTTGTCAAGAGTTGACATAGTGAAGCTGTTACACAAAAAGATTTTATCATTTTCTGATGATTTAAGTCAGGTGACTCAACAAGTTTTGTTCTGGGAAAATGTGATCCTAAAATACCTTCAGGAAGGCTTTAACATTTGGACCAAACTCCAAAACTTTCAGCAGCTTGTGGTGGTTCAACTTCTTCTTCTTCTTCTTCTTTCGGCTTTTCCCTCTTCAGAGGTCACTACAGCGAGTCATCCTTCTCATCCTTCACACATGTACTCTGTCTTACTACGGCTGACTCTTTCATTCCTCTTCTTTCACGTGCTTACCTCCACCTCTCCGAGTTATCTTCCACCTGTTCCCTGTTTTCACCACAGATCACAATGTCATCTACAAACATCATAGTCCACGAGGATTCCTGCCTGACCTCATCTGTTAGTCGGTCCATCACCAGAGCAAACAAGAAGGGGCTCAGAGCCGATCCTTGATGCACTCCCACCTCCATCTTGAAGCTATCTGTCACTCCTACAGCACATTTCACCACTGTCCTGCTGTCCTCATACATGTCCTGTTCCAATCAAATATACGGTACTTCTCTGCCACTCCAGATTTCCTCATGCAATACCACAGCTCCTCCCTCGGCACCCTGTCTTTAATGCTTTTTCTAAATTCAAAGACACAATGGAGTTATTTCTGACTCTCTCTGTACTTCTACATCAGCATCCTCAAAGCAAAGATGGCATCTGTGGTACTCTTTCTTGGCATGAAGCCATACTGCTGCACACAAATAGTCACATCTCGTCTAAGTTTAGTTTCCACAACTCTCTCCCAGATCTTCATCGTGTGACTCATCAACTTAATTTCCCTGTAATTGCTGCAACTCTGTTCATCACCCTTGTTCTTAAAAATGGGCACATGAGCACTCTTCTCCTCAGGCATTTTCTCACCCTGAAATATGCCACTGAATATTTGAGTTAAAAAAAAAACAAAACTCATTGCCATCTCGCCAAGACATTTCCAAATCTCCACAGGTATGTCATCAGGTCTTACTTTTTCATTCTTTTCAGAGCTTTCTGAACTTCACCCTCACTTTTCTTTCCCACTTCCAGGTCCACAGTTTCCATGACCTCTATTCTTCTTTTATTTCATTCTCATAATTCAATAGTTCCTCGAAGTAATCATTCCATCTTCCTATCACAGTCTCCTCACTTGTTAGAAGATTACCATTCCTATATTTAACAAACCAAACCTGCTGCACATCTTTCCAGTCTGATCCCTCTGTCTTGCCAATCGGCACAAGTCCTTCTCGCCCTCTTTAGTGTCCAGCCTCCCATACAACTAACTGATCATACTCCTGCTTTGCCTTAGCTACCATACAACTCAAGCGTTTACTTCAACAGTGCTTGTCTTTGTGTTTATTCTACTTAAATAGGGTCAAAGTAAGCCAAAGTCACATACAATTTATCAAGGAACAAATGTGCTTTATATTAGTTTCGGCATCAGTCGCTGCAGTTTTTTCTTCCCCAATCAAAGAAAACCAAGCAATAACTTTTGGCATCAAAGCAAAGACATGCTAACTCATTTCATAGACAGATGTTTTGTAATGCTGACTCTGGGCAGGTTTTTACATTAAAGTATAGTAGTATTACTTTAAAACCTGAAAATTATTAGGTATCATTCTTAGTTCCTGCAGCAAAGGATTTCCACCTCCAACTACTTCAGTCAAATCCATTCCATCCTCTGGAAACCTCCGGGAAAAAAAAAATCCCATTCCTGACACGCTTTCTGGGGGGATACTAGATTTATGACATCACTATCTAATCCCTCTTCATCTTCCACCCCAAGCTGATTGATGTTTGAGAATTTTTCCTGGTGCAACTTCCCTCGGGTAGACACACGGCAGCATTGCTACGCCACTCCTGATGTCTATAATTCAAAGGGCTCGGAGCACTGCTACAACACTGAAAAACTCATTAGGTTTATTTCTGCCAGCTGCTGGATTCCCTGCGCAGAGCCTGCTTTGGACCTGTTTCGAATCGAGAAAAGCTACATGAAATGACAGTCTAGAGGGAGTAAAAGCAAATACAGTGATTCACTCAGGGCAGAATACAGATTACGCCCAAGCAGATAAAAACATCCACGTGTAATCCCATTTTAGAAAAGCTGAGAATAAAAAAGGCTCATTTCAAATTTTAGGTGATCATTGACAGTTTTAGTTTGTTTTGGTTTTGCTAGTGCAATTTTACACTAAAAATTACTAATTGAAATTCAGACGGTTAATGGAAGAAAATTTAAAAACATTAACTACCGGTAACTGTTTCAAATACATATATGGAATTTTAATTAAAACAAGAAAATAAAACGCATGCCAAGTTGAAGTTTAATCACATTTTTTAAAGTGTTGCTGTCAAAACAGCTTAACAAATACGATGAATTGCAAAACAGCTACAGGAAATATTGTAGAACACTATTTTAAATCACTTAATGATGTTATAAACCAGCCTGTCCTACAAAATCAGTTAAACTCCAACCTAATTTAGGCTTTATCAGGTTCTTTCTTTCATAAATGCATCTTTGTTTCATGAAAGACACCCTTTTTTTTTTTTTTAGCTCACAGTCACAAAATAACTGGTCATGCAAACCATAATCTAAAGATGTTGGAAAAATATTGGTTTCCATAGCACAAGGACGTATTTGATTTAAATGTACCCAAACAAGGAACAATTCATAACTGCAAGATAGGCTGAAAAAAAGTTTACGTATGTATCTTGCCCCATTTATGCATGAAAATAGATATATTCTACTCAGATGTTCTATTCAGGTGCTAAGAGTTTGCATATCAATCATTCTGTGTTGAGGCTGTGAGAACCACAAGACCATTTGTCCAGAACAGCTTTAGCTCAGCAGGAACTACAGAAACCATCTGATTGAGGATCAGTGGCATGGTGCTGTCCAACTTTCCCTCTGTGAAAAACAATCTGATGATCAGGACCCTGAGGCTGTACAACCTAAAACATGAATGCTCATTAACCACAGTCACAGACTTAAGATGCTGTTTGAGCAGACGAACGAGCGCGCTTCCTTGATGAACGAACAGGTTGGGAATCTGCAAACAGGCAAAAACATTCCTGCAGATTGGACAGCATATGGAGGTGACAGCCATGAAGCACGCAGGTGGTGAGAGGAGAGGGAGACGATACAATCACTGAGAGACCGAAGGAAGACGCAGAGCATCCCTGACAGTGTTAGCTGTCTGGAAGTGATGGTGTGAAGCAGTGTGCTAGAGTGTTGCGAGTAACCAGGGAGCTGCGAAGAGCTGACGGATCATCTGGGAAATGTCAATGGAGAGAGAGAGAAAGCCTCTATGGCTGGTGCTGGTAAAGAACGAGGATAAAAAGGCAAGGATAAGTCGGCCTTATTTAGGCACTTTACATCTTTTATTGAAAGAAAGTAAAAGAAGTCATGAAAGCAAAAGCAAATGCCACAGTGACCAAAATAACATTTCTAAACCCTGCTGGAACACTTCTATCCACACTAAGAGGTCAAATTTCTGCTCAACTATTAAAAAAAAAATCAATCTCTATTAAAATGCGGCTTTTAAACAAG